TCGAGCTCAAGACCAAGTGAGTCAGCGAGGCACTCTTTCTGGTCCTATTACCATGCGGCGCTGACGCGCGCGCACTCGTCTAGGCTCGACTATGTCGAGGAGAAGCGCAAGATTTACGCGCCCGACTCGGCTCCGATCACGGGCGCCTCCAAAGACTCTGTCCCGAAGAACCCGTACTCCAAGTCGGCCAAGCCTTTCAACGCGTGGGCCGAGCGACTCGTCGGCGAGGACGGGTTCCCGATCAAGCCGTCGGCGGTGGCCGCTGCGCGCGCCAACGGCAAGAAGCGCGGAGCCGAGGACGAGAACGAGGCAGAGGAGCGCGAGATCATGTACGACGGCGTGCGCTTCAAGGCGCGCCGCACTGGCGGCAAGGACGGCAAGGTCGAGATTGTCGACGAGGAGAGCGTCGGCAAGGGCGAGGGCGGCTGGGCGACCGGCAAGGTGTTCCGGTTCACGATCGCCAAAAAGGACGGGTCGACGTCGACTGACTCGAAAGAGGACGGCGAAAAGTTTGACTTTGTGTCGCTCAAGAAGCGCCTCGAGCCGATCGCCAAGCCGGCGTTTGTCTCGCTCGCCGAGGACCGCCCGATCGCGCCGCTCCCGGCTGGCGCTTCGGGAGACAAGGATAGCACGATGAAGGAGGCCGCGCCCAAGTCCGAGTTCCCGACGCGCTTGAACGCCCCGCCCGAGATCAAGTCGTCTGCCGACGTCAAAAAGGACGACGCGCCGGAAGCGTCGACCTCTTCGGCCTCGGGCTCGGGCGCACAGCAGTACCCGGCGCGCGGACAGGCGAGCTTCAAGGAGGTGGTCACGGACGAGACTTTTGACAAGCTCAAGTCCGAGGTCGGCGAGATTGACGGCCGCAAGGTCGAATGGGTTCGTGTGTCCGGTGCGTTCCTTTGTGCTCTCTTTCTTTGGTCTTTCTCGCGCGATCGTTGCTGACTTTAGTTTCGTGCGGTAATCTACAGAGGCGGACGAGCGTGCGCACCAGCTCTCGCGTGCGCGCTACCACGCCGAGCAGGCCTTCTCGGGCGAGCGCGGCGGTCCGGGCGGTCGCGGCGGCCGCGGCGGACGCGGTGGTGGACGTGGTGGTCGTGGTGGACGCGGCGGCGGTGGTGGACGCGGCGGTCACAACAAGCGCCCGCGTCGCGATTAGGTCGATGTTTTGTGCCCTGATATATCCCGGCTTGCCTCGCGCTCGCTTGCTCGCGAGGGCCAATGAAAAGCAGTATTTCGACTGCCCGTTTTCTCGATGCGGTGACGACTTTACGAGCGTGGTCGCGAGAGGGCCCTATGCAGCCTGCTCGAATGATTTGTGGCGCGGTCACGTGCAGTGAGGCTTTTGTGGAATGCAGCGGGGAGCGGTTCTTTTCCTTCGCCATCTCTATACTGTACTCGCTCGCACGACTGTCGGAAGGGCTCGCTAGCTACATACTGGGAACGCTTGGCTGCTCTGGGAACGCCGGGTACGGGCTGGACGTCCCTCGCTCTCCGGCGCGGCATGCAACATCCGCTGCGATCCGCGTCCGCAACTCCCGACTCTGCCACTGGCTGGGAGGCCGTCGACCGCGAGATTGAGCAGCTTGCACAACAGGGCAGGATGGACGAGTCCAAAGCGGCCAAGTTGGCGGAAGGAGCGGACGACGTCGAGGATGGTCGGGAAGCCCCACCGCCGCCCGGAGAAGGCGATCACGACGCCTCAGACGACGCAGAGACCTTGCATGCCGAAGCACAGCAGTACATACGGAGGCTGGATCCGGAGGAACAAACGCGCAAGGTGATCTTGCTCGCCTGCGCGTGCTGTCTCAGCATCGGAAGGTGCGTCCCTTCGTTTCATGTACGGTCTTTGAGCTGGCGTGGGCATTTTTGTACTTACGGCGGACCCCCACACACAGTCACTATGCAACGTACGATCTCGGTCCCATCAAGAACTCTCTCGGCACGAGCGAGTCGGGCTTTGCCGGCTTTGTGAGCGCGATCGAACTCGCCAACACGGTCACGCCGCTCGTCGCCGGATTCCTCGTCGCCAAGCTCGGAGCAGCCGTGTGCGGACTCGTTGCAACCGGTTTGGTTTTGACCGGCCAGGTCATCGTCTACTTTGCGCAGAGCCTGGAGGGAGGAGCGGCAGGGAACTTGCCACTCATGGTGGGTCTTTTTGGTCGCCGGGTCACAGAGTCGACACTTACATCCGAACGTATGTAGGTGCTCGGTCTCCTCGTGTTTGGCGCCGGGACTTCGCCTCTGGCTGTGGTCCAAGAATCAATCATCCTCCAGCACAACGACTCGTCTTCGCGGTTTGTCGCTCGCTCGATCGCGGCCGGGCTCGTCCTCGGCAAGGCGGTGGGCTTTCGCGAGCTGTGTCCGGGAGTCTCTCGCCGCCTCTAACCTGGTCTCCCCTGCAGGGCTCCTTTGCCGGTGCATGGTCGTCCGAACCGCTCTACGCCATTTCGCCGCGCCTCCCCTTCTTGGTCGCCCTGTGTCTCACCCTCTTTTCCTTCTCGGCAAGTCTGCTCTACGCTCTCGTGGAACGGCGGGACACTCGCGCCCGAGCGGGGCGCAAGGACGCTGCGCACCACCATCATCAGCCTCTCCGACTGTCGACCTTGGCCTACTTCGGGTCGCCGTTCTGGTGGTACATGGGCGTGTGCGCCCTCGCCGGGACGTGGTATACGACCGAGCACCTCTCGTCTCACCTCTTGCAATCCGTCTACTCGATCCCGGAAGCGGAAGCGAGTCCAGCTGCGGCGCTCGTGCTCGGTGCTCCTCTTTTGGTGGGTCCTGGGCAAGATTCCGGTCGCTCTGTGGTGGCTGATCCCCCTTTTCACGCTGCAGTGTTATCCTCTCTTGGGCTACTTTCTCGACCGCCGCCCAAACTTGCTGGACAAGTTTTGGATCGCTGTGCCGTCATTGATCTCTTTCACCTACTTTAGCTACCTGCTGGTGAGCTAGGTCTTGTTGATGATCGCTAAAGTGTGTGCTGACTGGTGTAACCCGTTCGCAGCTCGGTCCCGTCATTCCGGCCTTTCTCGCCATTCTCCCGGCTGCCCTCGGTGTCGGCAGCGGGACGCTCCTCTTGGTCCTCGTGGTGCCGAGGATCGTCGAGCCAGAGTGGGCTCTCTCGTTTGACTGCGTCTCTGCCCTCGCTGACGCGCTTGCCCCCTCGCAGTCAAGCCGCGACCGCTCTCGGCGCGCACAAGTCGATCGAGATGGCCGGCGCCATCATCATCCAGACCCTCTGCGGTCGTTTGCTCTCGCTCGAATCGCACACCCATCGCCCCGACGAGCAACTGGACGAAGATCCGACGTGGGCCATCTCGCTCCTCTTGGCGGTTTCGCTCGTCCAGGTCGGCGTCGTCGCGCGGTGGTGGTCCGTCATCCGGGCGACGGCTCGCTCCAAGGCGACGAGTGTGCCGACCGAGGAGGAGGAGCTCGGGCTGCTTGACGATGAGCGGGTCCCGTCGCCGCTGTCGTCGTCGTCGTCGGAGTTTGAAAATGCGGCGCGCGGATACGGATGCCTCTATGCTGCCTCGGGCATCGTTGTGCTCTCGTGGGTGTGCTTCCTGTCCAACTTGGTATGAGTTCTATGTAATTTATCGGAGAGTTGTGCCGTCGTTGGGGCTTTTGACCATCTTTGCACATGCACTTTCCCTTTGCTTCCTCCTCCGAGCACTGGCTTGGTCCGCAGGCGACCGTCCAGTTACATCTTATTTCAGAGTCACATGATCCCGCTGTGTTTGTCCAGTGCGAAAGCCGCCCTCGGAGTGCCTCGCAGGACCGAATCACTCCTTGACGAATCACCCATAGGAAGAGTCGTCATCCGAAGTGCAGCCACTCATCCAATCCGGGCGAGAATGATATGTAAGTAAGGAAAGATCATACCATGCATACGAGCCTGAAGAATACCTGCACAAGCGTGCTCTTCGAGTGAACGGCGCAATGCGCGCACGTTTGAACGCCCAACTTGCGCTCGTCTTGGCGCGTCTCACTGATTCCGCGTCTAATTCCAGACTTGTCGAAATGTACTACTCCTGGCACAGCTGCCCTGACACGTGCCCGGGGGACCGTCAATTCGGCGCCCTCCGAAAGGGTGAGGATTAATCGCGAGAAAATGAGTGCCGATGGACTGCCTTCTCTCCGAAAGCGCTTTCCGCGCCCCCAATCCGGGCTTCATCGCTTCATGACAGCCGCTTCAAGCTATATTGAGCCCTGGAGCACCCCTTTTGAGGCAACTTGTCAGTCGCGAGTGTCGAGGGGAAATCCCTTGCCTTCTCCATGGAAGCACCCAAGCTTGAGTCAGAATCTTGTTCCACCAGGGCGGGGTCAGTGTATCAATAGACTACTTCGATGAACAACAAGCGGCCACAGAGGCTCTCCGAGAGGGCCAACACAGGCTGTCTTTGCGGAGATGGTCCGGGAAGCGCTCAGGCCCCCTGCTCCTCCAGAGACCAAGTCCCGAATTGACGTTTGTTCTGGGGTCTTTTTCTACCAGTTCGCTGCCCATAGAGCCGTAGACTGGGGTTTGGAGCATTGCGCGACCGTAGAAGCTCTCCGAGGGGGTGAAACCGTGCTATTCTGTGCGGTGAACGCTCGCACCCTCTCCTTCTCCAGAACTGACGTTAGTTTCGGCATTCCGTTGTACCACGGCAGTGCCAACAGGACCGTAGACTGGTTTGATGCATGTTTCGCGGCCGTAAAAGCTCTCCGAGAGGGGTAAATCGAGCCTTTCTTTGCGGCGACGGTGCGGAAAACGCTCAAGCCCCTTGCTCCTCCAAATTTGCTCGGACCTTGGCGGGACTTGCGTAGGGACCTAGCGATCAGGTTTCTCGGCGCATATAGCCTACTGGACTTGTTCTCCGAGGCTTTCTTGGCGAGAAAAGTCTGATCGAAGTTTCTTGAGAAGGTCGACTTTCGGGGATCATAACTTGGTGTAGACTTGTCCGTTTTTGATGATTCTTGCATCAGTACATACCGTTAAAAGCGGAGAAGTTGATTATATGCCGGGTTTTTTGGTCTAGTGGCTATGACGCGTCCTTCACAGTTGTCCAATTTGGAGCTTAACAAACTCCTGGGAAACCGGACGAGGTCTCGGGTTCGACCCCCGAAAGAATCACCTGTCTTTTTGGTACCGTAGCCCAAAAGAATCGGGCTATAAGCGTCTTTTTTGGAGAAGTTGCGAGCAGGAGAAGGTCGGCTGCTGTTCGATCGGAAACTCCTCGGACCAAACTTGAAAGAGGTCTGTGCGAGGAGATCTGTGCGAGGAGATCTGTGCGAGGAGATCTGTGCGAGGACGAGGATCCGCAGCAGCTGCAGCTCCAGGGTCGAGTCCCAGAATTAGCCCACCTACAGTATATCCTCGAAAGGCGACCGGTATCCTTTCATCCCGAGCGTGCACTCAAAGCCCTGCCTACAAAGACAAGTCCGCTACTTCAACTAGAGACTCATAGGCTCACTATAGTCTGTTCAATTCCAGCGAATGAATCTCAAGTCACTCCCGTGCTCTCCGGCGCGGCCTCAAGCTTTCCCTGTTGCCACTGCGCTTGCTTCTGACGCTTGTAATTGCCGTTGATCATTCCATGTTTCCCCGTGCACATCAGTCTTCGTTCGTACGCATTGCAGAGGCCGATTCGAGAGAGTCAAGTGAATGAGCGGACGCGGAGGCACTTGCTGGGGATGCGGCCGCGGGAGCTCAAGCTTGCACGATTGCTTGCGATGACCTCTCCGCCCTAGGCCTTCCAGCACCGGAGCAGGAACTCCTCCGCATGCAGCGAGGAGCAGGAACGGAAACCATCGTGCGCGTGGACGAGGAAGGGCGAGTGCTCGTTTGCAAGGAGGGAAGCGCAGCAAGAAGCGTAAACTTGCATAGGTATGTGAGAACGGGCGCCTTGCCACAGACTCGCTGCCGTGCAGCAGCACGAGCAAGCGAAAAATTTGCGGCTCGCCAAAGTGCGGGAGAGAGCGCGTTCAGAGCGCTCGCGCGGGTTGGAGCGAAGTAATTCCGGTACTCGCCGCGGCAACGTCGGGCTCGGGCTTGAACGCTGACGTCGCAACGGACAAGCAAACGTACGGACAGTGTCGGCATCCAAGCGCGCGGGGGGGAGACGGACGTCGAGGTTCGCCTCATCTCGGTGTTCGCGTCGACAAAGGCGAGTGGGCGACAAGGGACGCGGGGGAGACCAGCACGCGGACGCAACCTGCTCGAGACAGTTCCTCGAACAACCGTCGCCCTGCTGGAGCAGCTATGGAGGCGACCTCTCACTCGGTTGAACGACCCTCTCGAGCAGCCAGCGATGACATGACAATCGCCCGTCGACTCTCCGAGTATGCGAGTCGCCTGGGCACAAACCCTGCTCGACGAGGCCCCTGCGCGGACATCCGTTGCTAGCGGACGGCCAGCGGGGCAGCAGCGGAGAAGGACTTTGACGGTCGAGGTGATCGAACACAGCGACGGCCGCCTCGAGGGAGCAAAAGTGCCAGAGCTCGGCAGAAGCGGGCGTAGGAGGCAACAGCATGACAAGTGTAAAGTATTGACTGAACCTGTTCTTTTGTCCGGAGGTTGAGCGAGGGATGCCGAAGGAGAGCGAGGCGGCGGCGAGACAGCGCGGACCACACTTCTCGCGCTGCCACCTCTCTCTCTCTCTCGTCCCTTTGTACGCTGACCCTCGCGACCACCGACACACACTTGCGAACTCACACGATGACGCCCTCGCCTGGAGCAGGTGGCCTCGGCTGCCTGCTCGTCCCTCTCCACCTCCTTACGTCGTATTCACTCGTCCGCTACTTTGCGACTCCCCAACACCTCGAAAACCAACAAAAAAAGGCTCAATACTCGCTCGCTAATCGTGTTGTACACTACGAACCGGTCCGGCACTCGCTCGACCCGCGCAACACCGACACGAGAGGGAGGGCGGACGGCAACGAGGGAGACCGCCGTCGCCCGCCCAAAGTGCAAGGACGGTCGTCGCAGAAGAGGAGTCGACCGACGACTCGACTCGCAAGCAGCTTGTTGAATTGTCCACGCTCGCCCACTCGCCGTCGCCGCCCGCCGCCGCCGCCTCTGCGAGCGACAACAACGCTGAAAGCTCGCTCGAGATCGACATCGCCGGCTCAGAGCACGTCGACAAGACCGAGACGAGAGTTGAATACGGCGCAAAAGTCGAGCAGCCCAACGGGTGAGTCTAGCGGGAGGTCGAGCCGGGTCTCTTGCCCTCCAAGCTGACGTCGCCGCTCCTCAACCTTCAGCAAGCTTTCTACCCCAGACTTGGCAGAGCCAGCTTGCGCACACTTTGCAGGAGGACCGCGAGTCACGACGGGTCCCCTCAAACGGACGTCGTCGCCCGACGCGGCAAACCCTTCGGCTGCTCCTTCTTCATCGCCGTCGCCGTTCTCGCACGTGCGGCAGAAAGTCGACGCCGCCTCGTTCCGTCTCAACTTCTTGCCGCACCATACAACAGCGCGCAAGCGGCACAACTACCGTTCCGGAGCGTTCCGAATCCCTGCCCGCGATTTCCCGACGCTGATCGCGCGGAAGAAAACTCTCGGATCCCCCGTTGTGCTCTCTTCCTCCTCCAGGTACAACCCACGAGGTGGGTGGACTGTATCCACGTGATTCTGAGCCTTTGCTCTCCTTCCTTAAACCTGTCGCGCCCTCCCATGCGCCGTCAGGCGACGTCAACGAACGGAGGTCGCCCGCGTCACTACCACTCGCTCTGGGTCGCTCGCGAAGGTTTGCCACACTGTGGACCTGTAAAGACAACGCTGGTGGGCATCCCGAGCTATGCGGCTGACCCTGTCTCGTCCTGCGTAGCCGCCCTCGATTCGTCGAGCGACTCATCAAACATTGCGCGGTTTCACGTGATTGCACAGCCCGCAACAATTCGGATCGCAGAGAGGATGGCAACCTCCTCGCCGCCTATGAAGACGACCGATTCATCGTGTATCCCTTCCTATCGGTCCATGTCTGCTCTCGGCACCCGAGTCTGCAGATATCGGCGTACATCTCGAGTCCTTGGCGTGAGTCCGATTCCCGCTCTGAGCCCGGTTCCCTCCCTTCTCGCCTCGAGCTCGTGCTGAGCGTGCTTTCTCTGGTCGTGCAGGGCTCTCTCTTTCCGCCGAGGACGTGGAGATGGCGCCCTCTCCTGTTGTCGCAGTCGACTCGGTTGACTGGCGGGCGTGCACCTCTTCCTCTTCGTGTGAGTTTCAGTTCCCCTCGTCTCACTTTTTGCCTATTGCGACTCACTCTCTCGGGTTGTGCAGGTGTCTTTCATGCGGAGAATCAAAGAGGTGAGACCCTCACGCGACGGGCTCGGCGGCGGCTCGGTGGCACCGTTCACGACGTCGACCGACCCGGCCTCGATCGACACCCTCTTTCGCTGGCGCAAGACGAGCATGCAGCCGATTCACTCGGCTGCCACGCGTGCACCTACTCCTCCCCGCGTGAGTTCCGGTCCCCTTCGTCTCACTCTTCGCCCATCACAGCTCACTCTCCCCTCTTCGACCGTGCAGGCCTTGCGCGTGGAGGCAAGGGGTGAGACTCTCGCTCGTGCACGTCCCCCGGTCCTCTCTCCCCCATTGGCTCGCCATCTTGGCGTCTGCGACGTCGACCAAGCCGTTCTCGGGACCGTCATCGTCCCCAATCTGGTGCTGGGTCGATGACCCGACCTGCGCTTGACTGGCGCTCGACTTCCTCTTCTAAGTCTCGCTCTCATCTCTTTTTCTTTTCGAAATGAACTTGCTAACACTTCTTCTCTTACAGACACGTTACCATATGGCGCCGATCATGAAGTGCCGGTCGTCGCCTGGCTCGGCTGCCATGCGTGCACCTCTTCCTCCTCGCGTGCGTTCGGGTTCCCCTCGTCTCGCTCTTTCGCAGGCCAATACTGACCCTCCCTCTTCCCTCGCGCAGGCGGCTTCCATCGCGGACGGAGGCAAAAGGTGCTACCCTCGTGCCGGATGGGCCGCACTGCTCCTCTTTCCCGCCTCAACTCGCCGTTACTGCGCCTGGGACGTCGACCGACCCGGCCTCGGGACCGTCGTCGTCGTCACATGTCGGACCACTGCGCGCAAACGTCTGCTCCCCAGCGTGAAGATGCGGGCGGACACCTCACCTTCTTGGTGTGAGTCCTGTTCCGGAATCCTCTTCTCGCTCCGAGCCTGGCTCCCCTCCCCTCTCTCCTTACTCTGAGCCTGCGCTGACTCACCTCCTCTTGCCGTCCAAAGCTCCCTTTTGGTCAAGAACGTCGAGGTGGTCCCCTTCCTTTCGCGCTTCGTGGTCGACTTGCGACGCTCCCGGTTGGCCCATTCTCTCATTTAGCCTCGACTCGCCTTTGTTGCGTCCGCGCCGTCCGCGATGTCGACCGAGTCCGTCGTAGTCCCCATCTCCAAATCTGAGCAACAGCTGGGCCGGCATTGCTTCGCTCGCCTGCTCCGCCTCGCTCCCGGACTCGACTACCTCTTCTAAGTCTCCTCCTCACTCCTTTTCTTTCGAACGGAACTGACACTCGTTTTGATTGCAGATGTATACTCTATACCGTACCGGACCTAAAGTGACGGCGGCGCTTCAAGACTTGGCGGAGCTCTGGTGGACGTTCCTGGATTCTCTCGGTCGACTTGTTGTAGCTCTCTCTTCTTCCTTACCTCTCACCTCCGCTCGCTCAGATTCCTGCAAAACCCTAAACTTCAGTCACTTTTCATTGGCTCTAGCTCATCTCCGACTTGCTACAATCCGGACTGAAGACGACGTAAGCAAGCGCGGACTGAAAACTCTCTCGCCCCAACCCAACCCAGACGCGCAGAGACCACTAAAAGTAGCTACACGAAGAGAAAAGAAGCAAGACCTAGACCTCCAAACCGTCCTCCTCCTCCTCCTCCGAATCTCCACTCAAAAAGACAAAGTCCTCCTCCGAGTCCTCCTCCGAGTCCGAACTCGACTCCGAGACGGACGAAAACGCCCGCGAGTCTGCGCCGACCGACCGCACGGCCGACTCAAACTCGCTCAGGTTCGAAGCGACCGTCGACGAGGGCGGCGCGGCGGCTTGCCCCTGGGCGTCGAGCGAAGGGGCCATGAACAGGACCGACGACGAGGAAGACGAAAGCGAGGCGACCGAGTCCGAC